ATATAAATGGTTTCATATATGCCTGCTGTTGAACATATTTCCAAGTTTTCTGATGCAGCTGGCCAATCCATTACCTTAACCAGAATATTCCACAAAGGGCCAGCTAACTTCTACCAAACATCAGCCTTGATACGAGCATTTGTGTACTCTGATGTCAGACATATAACATTTCTATTGTAAACAATTACTGTCAGATAATTTTTACCAATAATCTAACAGGTTTACATATTTGCCCAATTCCATACAGAGAACTAAGAAGCAGAAGAAACTTTAGAGTATTTCAGCAGTGCCTCTGTATACCTGTCAGAACACTGTACTGATGTCTGTTTCTGTAGAACTCCATATTATCTTCCGTGCTCTCCCGAAGAAATACTGAGTATGCATTGTGGTTGTTAGCTGCTGTCAAATTGGTCCCCAACTCCTGGCAACTCCAGGCACAACAGAACCAAACACTGCCTGGTCTTGTGCCATCCCTATGATCGGTTGTAAACTGGACCATTGTGATTCACAGAGTTTTCACTGTCTGACTTTCAGTAGTAGATCACCATGCATTTCTTCCTAGTCCATTTTCGTCTGGAAGCTCCACTGAAACCTGTTCAGCATCACAGCAACATGCAAGCCTCCACTGGCAGACGGGTGGTGGCTGTGCATGAGGTGCATTGGCTGGGAATCGAACTCGGGTCTCCAGTATGGAAAGCAAAAATTCTACCACTGTACCACCAATGCCTCAAGCATGAACTATTTATCATTTACCCATAAGGAGAAGCAGGCTTCTTTAGGAAATCTGGGTTCTATTAAGATTGTAGCCATCTATTCCACTGATCATTGGTTCCTACAAAAAAAGTCTAATGTGAGAAGAGAGAGAGATAATATATGTGTGCTACCTGTTCATCCACCATTCCTCCCAGGCTTTGCTGACTTGATTCTGAATTAATGAGCCTGTTACAGGATATCTAATAAAAATGACTGGAGTAGAGATAGTGTTTGGAATCTGCCACATATTTTGGTTTGAGGCTGAATCGATTTCATCTATATTTAACACATGCTTGTTTTCTGTCTCACTTGTCTCCCCCACAGCCACGGCTCACTCTTTTTTCCATCTGGGAAACTTATCTCCTAAAATGCTCCCATCAATCAGCCGAAGACGCTCTTCCCGACAGAGCGTCTGCCAGTTTGACTAAGCACAAGTAGTCACTAGTTTGAGGATGCCTCCCACACTCTCTAGAGCTGTGTGTTTTTCTAGCCTGCCTAACCACACAAGTGCAATTTGGGATATTTATGCTTCCCTCCAGTTTCTACTGGGATAATAGCACTACTTTTACAGAACTGGCCATCGGGCACAATATGGGTTGGTATGATGGAGAATGAAGTTTCCCGTCCTGCTTGTCTACCTACTTTTTAACATTATTTTGGATTTTTGCATCCCTACCCATTTGGGTCTGCTTCGGCTCATTGCTGGCTCAGTACGTATAAAAATCAAATGCACACAAAGATGTAGACACTTTGTCCCCAAATCCTTCCCTGATAACCTGAGGCCTCTCCCGTTTTCCCATCCTTTATGTTAATACTGCTCCCAATACATTCAAGACTGCAAACTTAAATGCAGCATGGAAGGAGAAGGACAGAAAAGAGAGCAAGAGTGGGGTTGGCAGCAGAAGCTGAAGCACTGGTAGAAGAGAAGGAAAGGGGGGAGCAGCAGACAGACGGCCCCCTCTCTCACAAATTCCAGTCATGAACACACCCACGGGCTGCAGCGAAAAAGCACTGTGCGTGGGCACAGGTGGGTCCCAGCCTCACTGGCTGGATGCAGCTCAAGCACCGCGTCTGAATGAAGACTTTCATTGCTGTTTGCTGTTTTCGTTGGCCAGTAGCCATGGCAAACATTTGCAGGTGGCTTGGCCAGATTTTGACACTTAAATATTTGAGGTTGTGATAAAAATCAGAATATTATTACAATATGGTTCTGTGCAGCCTCTAAAAAGAAAGCTATCTGCTATTTCAAATGCTCATTTAAAGACACAGTCTCTGGAGGGAACTCATGTTTTAAAATAAGTACTCATTTCCTCTTTGCTGAGGGAAATAAAAGAGCAAAACCATCCCCAAATTGTACCACCTAGAGTTTTGTACTGAATCCACTGGTGAGATGGGTTGGCCTGTTTCTTGCTGAGCCCCCATGATAATCCGGACAAGGTTTTGGATAGGTCACATGAAGAAAAATGGAAATGACAGGATGTGTGGGTTTGAATCAAAATGGTAAGCACAACAGGGAAGAATCTGAAGAAAAGAAACAGCCTCCCTCAAGCCTGGCAAGAAGACAGAGTCCTAAAAGTGGCAATTATCTCCTAGGACACACCAGGAGAGACATACAGCACCCCAGGATCAGGAATAAATTGGAAGATGGGGTGGGTTGGAAGGTCATCTGTGCGAGAGAAACACCCCCACCCATCCAAGCACAGCAACACAGCCTACACATGGCACCCAAATGTACAAGACCAGCTGGGTGAATTCAGGACACAGTCAACCACCCATCTTAGCATTTAGTGTTAACCCTTAAAAGATTGTTTCACAAAAGCCAGCCTTGTACTAACAATGGCTGAATACTAAGAGCCTCCAAGAGGGTAGTTGGTGGGGGTGGTGGGGAAGGCAAGAGAACTCCAGGAGGGAAGGAATGTTGTAAAACTGCTGGTAAACTCTAGCACATTTTATGTTTTTTTTCCCCCCTTGAAAGAAAAATAAAATAATTATAATTAGCTGGCCTAACTGTGAATTGTCTGCCCAAAGCCAAGCCACTAAGTGAAGGAATCACTTGAGATTTAGATGCTGTCTTTAATGAGCCCAAGCAGCCCTGGTGGTGCAGTGGTTAAGTGTTTGGATGCTAATGTAAAGGTCTCCGGTTCAAACCCACCAGACTCTCTGTGGGAGAAAGAGGTGGCAATCTGCTTGCATAAAGATTACAGCCTTGGAAACCCTATGGAGCAGTTCTACTCTGTCCTACAGGGTCGCTATGAGTTGGAATCAACTCAATGGCAAAGGGTTTTTTGGTGGTTCAGTAAGTCCACCCCACCCTCTTAGTATATTATAGGTTCTTGCTGTAGATGTAGGTTCATTTGAGAAGAAAAGACACACTTGCCAATTTAGACTTGGCTTCTTCAAACAAAGCCAGGCATTTAAAAGGCCAGATTAATTTTCTGTTTCTTGAACGGCAAACCAAATATACCCATGGCAAACTCACAAAACAGTCATTACTCGCAACTCTCCATTGTTAAAGTGGGTCTTCACATGTCACAGCCTATCCTAATAGGTTGAGAAACGTAAGGGACAAGGAATCCCCCTCGAGAATGTACCTCAACTACAGAGAAATCAGTCAGCGCCCACTGCTGGTCTGGAATTCTCACAAAACATTAAAACCAAGAGAAGAAAGACACACCGACAAATTGTGGGGCGGCTTCTTATGTTTTTTTAATCACCATACCCAGTATTCAGCAAACTGAATTCTGATGCATGTACCAAACACAGCAAGCTCCCCTTACGATTCTAAATCAAGACTTCTGGAGATTTAACACGACTAGTTTTCGGAGTCCAACAATATAAATTTATCATAACTCTTTGGCTTTGGTTATTACCTTTTCCTCCAAAGAACCTGAGCGCTCTTAAATCTTTTATTTCATCTTCACTCTACTCTTGTGAGGTTGGAAAGACAGACAGCATCCTCATTCTGGAGATAAGGAAGCTGAGGCACTGAATGTATTGCATAAAGTCAGGAAGTTAATCTACAGGAGAACTGAGATTAGAACCCAAAACTCCAGTGTTCTCAAGGTTGAGGGCACTTTGGTGTTGTGGCCAGGGCAGTTCTTGCAAGCAAGGGACTGGCGAATGTATCAAGCACATTGAGCGCATCAGGCCCTGCCTCACTGATTGCCTTAGGCATCCTCTAGTCAGTGCCACAGCCCAACCCCCACACATTTCTGCACACTCCCTGGGGCTACGGCAGTGAAGCTTCCAGTTGCAAAACATTAGTTGACCACCCTACTACTTCCCTGTGGGGAGTTAAAGTCTTCCAAGCCAGCCATATGACACCTAGAATTTACATTTTACCTATGACATTCCAGATCATTTTCCCTCAAACTCTAATGTGTATAACAGTCACCTAGAGACCCCTGGGATCTTGTTAAAAGGCAGATTCTAAGTCAGTAGGTCTGGGGTGGGGCCAGAGATTCTGCATTTCTAAGAAGCTCCTGGGTATGCCAGTGCTGCTGGTCTTGAGATCATATTCTGAGTAGCAAGTGGCTAGAACTATCACATGATACCAAGAAACAAGGGAGAGCTCTTCCCATCACATGATACAAGGTGTCTGGGATTCGGTGACAGGACTATTCTACCAATTTCTTGCAATGCCTCAGTATTGTCTTTTGACACACATACGAGGGAGAGTGCATGCTTTCTCGGTTTTGTCTACTCCAGGCATGAGTATAGACCCATAGAGAGGAAGGAGAGAGCCAGTAAGGAAGTGTTACTGAGAAAGAGAAGAAAGAATGATCAGAGGGAAGGAGGATGTGGAAATACCCAGAAGATCCAGATATGAACTTGGCGGCTTCTCAGAAAGGAGGGGCAGGCTCTGTTGCGGAACACACGAGGCTGGTAAAACCTCCTCCCACCATCATGAAGCATTTGCCCTGAGCACTGGAGGCTCTGGCCTCCATCACACCCGTGGGTTTCCCTGCTTTCATCTTAAAGTTCACAAACTTTGTCTGAGAAACAACGAAACAGAAGGACTCAACTCTTCCCTCAAAGTCCAGGGTCAAAACAGCTTCCACCCCACTGAGGCTCTCCCTTCCTCCCCCACAACAAAAGGCATCATTCTGAATCTCCAGGCAATATCACAACAGCCAGGAAAACCAACTTCTGCCTCTTCTTATCTGAGCACTAGAAATGAGAAGAAAGTCTGCAGCATTCTCTGAGCTCCAGGCAGGACCCAGAGAGAGCAGAGGAGGTCTCCTTACCCGATCTGGCGGTTGGTGGAAGGGGCCTGTGTGATGACGGAGCTGGACTGGGGAGACGGCATGGCCTGCTGAATCACAACGCTGGTGTCATGGTTGGGCATCCGGGAGCCGCCAAGCTGGTGAGCTCCAGGCCCGGTCATGGCTCCACCAACTGTATTATGCATCGAGACATTCTGCCCAGAGAAGACAGAGGAGAAAGGTCAGAAGAAGTAAACATTTTATTCTACTCTCAAACTCTCAAAGGCCAAGATAGGGAATCTGGTTATGTCGACAAAATAAAGAGTTACGGCTCCTGGCAAGACTTGAGCCCGTTCATCTTGTTATTACAAATGGCTACAAAGAGACGAAAAATAACTACTCACCCTTAGAGTAAAGCAAATAGGAAAATACCTTGACGTTTACTAATCACTCTGCCACCATCCTGATATGAGATTTACATCAAGGACCTTTAGAACATACCTTCTCTGACTTGGTGTGATAAATATTGCATTTGAAAATGATTTTTGTGGTAAGTGCATAATACTGTGATTTAGTGAACAACAAGCACACTGGGTTATTTTATCTTTCTCACTCCTATCAGAGTGGTCAACATATATATTGTTTCCAGAAAACTGCTACTTTTCCAAACCACAATCTGAGTAGACATGACACAAGATCGACAACTTGTGGGACGAGGCTGGACAACTGGAATAAAGGATGGGGTGCTTGGGGTCCAATGACAAAGAGCAAGAATTGCAACTTTGTGCCATATTTCCAGAAATCGATCTCTTAACAATTTTATGGAATCATGGAGTATGGAATAAGGATTGCTTATCACTGTCTTTTCTTCTAGAATGTATAATTCTTGTGTTTGCAACTCTGTCCCAGCATGGTGCTTGGCACACAGTTGTTGTTGTTGTTAGTTGTTACTGAGTCAGCTACAACCCATGGCAGCCCTACGTACAACAGAATAAAGCATTGCCCGTTCCTACACCATCTTCGTGATCGTTAGTATGCTCAGATCCATTGCTGTGGCCACTGTGTATTTTGAGTGTCTTCCAATGTAGAAGGTTTATCTTTCAGCACTATATGGGGCAATATTCTTTTGTGATCTATAGGTTTTCATTGGCTAATTTTTAAAAGTAGACCACCAGGCCTTTCTTCCTAATCTATCTTAGTCTGGAAGGTAAGTCTGAAACCTGTCCACCATGGGTGACCCTGCTGGTATTTGAAATACCAGTGACGTAGCTTCCAGTAGGATAGCAACATGCAAACCACCACAGTATGACAAACTGACAGGTAGTGGGCTTGGTGCATGATAAACATTCTGTACACATATACTGCAGGAATCAATCCGTGCATGAACAAATGAATTACCTGAGTCACTTAAGGGACCTAATACCATGTACTTTTCTGAGGACTTGAGAAGAGGCTTTTTTGTTTACAATTTAACAGTAAGGTGAAATAGACAAGATAAAGCTGGCTTAAGAGATAGCTGATCATAGACAAGAAAGTCACCAAGACAAGAGAAAATTTACTCTGAGGCAGAGGACAGCTGATTCACACCTTGAGGGCTGAAATGCGAGAAAGAAATTCTGGACCAGTAAATAAAGGGGCCTGGTGGTGCAATGGTTAAGCGCTCAGCTAGCTGCTAACCAAAAGGTCCACAGTTTAAACCATCAGTGGCTCCATAGGAGAAAAGACCTGGCAATCTGCTCCCGTAAAGATTACAGCCTTGGAAACCCTATGGGCAGTTCTACTCTGTCCTATACGGTCACTATGAGTCAGAATTGACTCAATAGCACACAACAATAACGAACGAAGAGAAAGTGCATGGCAGAGCCAAGTAACAGGTAAAGGCAGTAAATGGGCCTCTATAAACAGCTAGGTACAGCTCCTCAGTCTAGAACATTAGAGAAATCCCAGGGGTCAGCTGGACAATGGCTTAGGGATGGGAGGAAAGAAATGGAATGTCAGTAGCAATTTACTAGGGGAAAAATATATATCTGTTGGCGCTTTGGGGTTAGCAAAGTTAAAAAATAAATGTTACCCAGGAGAGCTAGAAGTGGCTCTTTGAAGTTCTTCTGCAAAGAACAGGATTTCCTGCACTATGTGCTAAATGATGGTGATAACATATGTGGTATTCGGGGTGGTTGTGTCCATCATATTGCACCTTTCCCAGATTTCTGATTTTCAAATTCTGACCACACAGTTTGTCATTAGTCCAGATGGAAATGGCACCTGGCTCAGACTGTGAGCCAATTGTGTCATGGGATCCCAAATGCATGAACAGGCTTATACATACACACACGTCCAAAGGGTCCTCTTACATACTGGAGGGTTTTTCCAACATGAGAAAACACTGTGGCTGGATAAAATAAGATGAAAGGAAATGGTGATTTGCATTGGAATGGTAGTGCAGGGATATATTTTAGCTCTTTTTATAGGTCTAGTGATCTAAAGAATGTAACTAAAAATCATAATGAAAATAAAGATAGTTGTGTTATTTCTTCTGAAAATGAACCTTACAAACTTATTTCTCTGCATCTTAATGAGATAAACAATTAGCAGGTACTATTTCTTCCACTGTGAGATCCTCAAAGATACTCAAAGTTTTCCAGCTTGCTCATATTGTTGTTGTATGCTGTCGAGTTGATTCCCACTCATAGTGATCCTATATCCAGACTAGAACTGTCCCATAGGGTTTCCAAGGCTGTTTTCTTCACAGAAGCAGACTGCCACATCTTTCTCTTCCTGAGCGGCTGGTGGATTTGAACTGGCAATCTTTGGTTAGCAGCCGAGCACTTAGCCACTGTACCACGAGGGCTCCTTGTCTTGTTCATAGCCACCTACTTTTTCAAAAATAAATCCAAAGCTCAGAAGAATTTCTGACTATCATTTTAGAATTTTTCGCATTGTGCTTTGCTACCCAGAGGTTATCAATACAGTTACACAATTCAATATTTTTTTAAATCACAATCTTTTAAATTCACAAACAAAAAAAATAAAATGGATGAACCCTCCTGGAGTCCCTTTTGACACGTCTTTTCTATGATCCCCATAAGCAGTCCCCAAATACTACCAATTTAACCTAAACATTCCTCATGTCTTTCTACTTCTTTCTATCTTTCCTTCCACCACCCTATGCCAAACCACCATCATCTCTTTCCTGGGCTAGACAGTGATCTCCTAACTAGTCTCTCGTCACTCACTCTGGATTCCCTTCTGCCTCTTTCCCACACCATAGTCACAATCATATTTTAAAAATGCAAAACTGATCACATTACAAACACCTCCCTCTACACCATCCCCAGAGCCTCTAGGCAGTGGTGTCACGGGGGGCGGGCGGAGGGGAGGGGGCGGTGCAGACTGCACCAGGTGGCACTGTCAGAGGGGGTGACACCAAAATGACTGTCTATAAAATTTTATGCAGTGCTTCAGCAGAAATTTATTATTTTTTATAAAAATATTCCAGTAGTTAGCTGTAAAGGAGCCCTGGTTGGCACAGTGGTTAAGAGTTCCGTTGCTAATTGAAAGGTTGGCATTTCAAATCCACTGTCTGCTCCACAGGAGAAAGATGTGGCACTCTGCTTCTGTAAAGATTTACAGCCTTGAAAACCTTATGGGTCAGTTCTACTCTGTCCTATAGAGTCGCTATGAGTCAGAATTGACTTGACAGCAATGGGTTTGGTTTTGGTTTTGTTAATTATAACAACAAAAACATTTTTCATAAGGCCAGCTTACATGTATCAATACACCTATAAGGTTAAACTTCTGTGCTAATTTACTTTGTGAATCTTCTAACGTCCTCCGGTCAGAGTTGTCATTTTCAGCCCATTACAGTGACTCTTCAAGTTACATAGTTTTGGCTGCATGCGCTGCAAGCGCGCACTGTGGCTTTCGTTGCTGCTGGTGTTTTTATATTCACTGATTCTGTCAAATTTTCTGGTGTTTTAGCTACAATTTTGTGGTAATTAGTATTCGTGAACCTATATCAATAACTTTTTTGAGAATGAAGTAATAGTTAAAGATAAAGAAGGAGAAAAATCAAAAAAGGCTTTCACTCAGTTACTAATAACATAACTAATAATGTTGTAACTCAAGGTAGAAAGATTTTACAAAGCTGTTTTGTTGTTAGTATTCATATAATCTAAGAAATATTACATTTAAGCAATTTACTTAACTATAACTATACTTATCACATACTGTTCTATGATTAAAATTGATAATAAACATTACTAAATGTCTTAGTTATCTAGCGCCGCTATAGCAGAAATACCACAAGTGGATGGCTTTAACGAAGGGATTTATTCTCTCACAGACTAGGAGGCTAGAAGTCTGAATTCAGGGTACCAGCTGCCGGAGAATGCTTTTTCTCTCTGTCGACTCTGGAGGAAGGTCCTTCTCGTCAATCTTCCCCTGGTCTAGGAGCTTCTTAATGCAGGGACCTCTGGTCCAAAGGATGAGCTCACTCCTCGCTCTTCTTTCTTGGTGGTAGGAGGTCCCTCTCCTCTCTGCTCAGTTCTCTCTTTTATATCTCAAAAGTGATTGACTCAAGATACAACCTAATCCTGTGGATTGAGTCCTACCTCATTAACATAACTGCCTCTAATCCTGCCTCATTAACATCATAGATGTTAGGATTTTCATTACATAGGATCACCACCTCAGACCACAAAATGGTGGACAATCACACAACACTGGGAATCATGGCCTAACCAAGTTGATACATATTCTTGGGGGACATAATTCAATCCATAACACTAAGGATTCTGTATGGTCTGGTATGGGAGGAGGTCCATGAGGGCATGACACTATGAGTTACCGCACTGGGTGACAGCAACCCTAGTGATGCTACTGCCTCTCAGATGGCTTCCCATTGTTCAGAAGATACTGACATTACTCTTTGTGTGACCTACAAGGCCTGTGTGGGACCTTCTTACTTCCTCATCTAACCTCACACCACCTCCACCCTTGGTCTCTGTGATTCATTCAGTCTCACTGGAATCTTCCTATCCTCATCCTGACCATGCTCCTTTTCAACATGGGGCCTTGGAATAACCTGTTTACTCTGCCTCAATGCTCTCTTGGCTCTGTCTTCAAATATCAAATTAAGTATCACGTGGGAAGGCCTTCTCTGACCTCCCCAATGATGGGAACCATTACCTCCCCCACATTGAAGTACTTTTTACAA